GCATTCTGTTGGTATGTAATTGTGATGCAACCCTTAGTTCAATTTTTACACAAATGAAATCTAAGTTCAATTTTGACCGGCTCAGGAATTTAGTATATCAAATTAATTGCTCTAATTGCGAACTCTTTTATATTGGAGAAACTAGCCAAAACCTGAGTAAACGCCTTAATCAACACAAAAATAATTCAAAAAATCCCAAACAATTTAAAACAATGTTAACTGAGCATATTAAAAATTTAAATCACAATATCGATTTTTTTAACCCTAAAATTTTACACTTTGAAGAGAATACAATTAAAAGAAGATTCGCTGAGGGGTTGTTTTTACAATTACATAACGACAAAGTGATAAACAAACGTTTTGACAATACGGCCCTGAACGAAGCGAACACGTGGGTTCTTAATAGCGTGTCAAAATTCCTTAAAAAATAACAAAATCCCATCGCCTTTTAAATTTTCCAAAAAATATCAACACATGCTAAAAACTACTTTGAGAAAGTTGTGACATTTCTATCCTAAACTCCGAAGAGTAAAGACATAGTTTCGACAACTTGTCAAGTTATCATGATTATTAGTGTGTTTTACCATTTGTGATGTTTGTGTTAAAAAATACATATCTTATCAATGTGTACATACTCATACCATGGATTAATAATGGTTTCATATGCTATATTAGGATACAAAATTGTAAGTGTTTTATTACTATTATTATTATTATTGTTTTTCCATGAAATTTCCTTTCATATAATTTATTTAGTTTCAATTTTTATAGTTAACTTGATTACCACTGAATGATGGCTAAGATGCTAGCCGAAACGTATGGATTTTAAATAAATAAAATTTTTTAAAAAAACTCATACTAATTTTATTGATGTTACGCCCGAATATTAAACTCAAATTAAACATATATATCAACATCAAATTCAAGAATATTCAAAAATATATATATATATATATATATATATATATATAAATAAGTGTACTCTGTGAATAATACATACCGTGCTGATTGACAAAGGCTTGCTGTAAAACACTTATTAAATTCGGTGTTCTTAAGTATTTGTTTATATTGAATGTGTCTAGAGGCAGTGTAATATTTCTATACATCTTGAGCAGTGTTTTCCAAAACATTTTTTACTGAGATCAGCTTTTCTGTCGATCAAATTTATTGATATGAGAATATGTTTTCCTGTGGGATAATGTTAATTTTTTTATATTATTTAATACACAAAACTGATTAATTTCTTTTAAATGAATACTCACCACGTATTTTCGTAAATATTGAAAATAATCTACAGTTTTAAACGTAATACTGATAACTCCTTCGCCTTCAAGGCAGTGAGAGCTAATGAGAATAGCCAAATACATATCACGATTGATATGAAACTGTTCGATTTTATGAATGGATCTTTGTTGCGCATTATGAGTGTGTCTATTGTTTATTTTAGATAGTGAACTAACACGTGTCGAACTGATAAAATTATCAGTAAGTTCATTTAAATTATAAATTATATTGCATTAAATTATATTGCACTTTATTACAAGAAAGCGGCCCGGCCGATCTCTACCAAAAACTAAACAGCAGGATTCCCAAGCAATATCTTTCGAACGGTTTCTGAATTTTCAAAATCGATTCAGAATTGCGAGCTAAAACGTGAATCGAATTTTCTGATGAAAACATAAACTTCTTCTTCGGGAAGTTAAACATGCCCGCCCATCACAATCAATAGAGTTCAATCACCTCAGGTTAATCACGTGAATTACTTATAAAAAAATCACACCATTAAAGAAAAGGATTACAACTTGAAGGAATTTTCAAAATACTATACTGGCTGAGTCCGAAGTCCAATCAACTTACAATAAGATTTTGGTACATAAAGTAGTATTGAAACAAATATGGATATATGGAGAACGGAGCGAAATAAAATTATATTGATGAAATAAAAATCTCATAAAATTTTTGGGAAGGCAGGTCTAGCGGTTTTGGAGTTCCAATAAAAAAAGTAATAAAATAGGCCATTTGGAGGACAAAACTGATCTCTGGATTAAAATTTCCAAAATATTTTGAAGTATAAAATAAATTGAAATTTTTCAAAAAAGTCATTTTTTTTTCAAAAATTAAAAAACTCTCAAAAATCTATTTTTTTCAAAGTTCTAAAAAAATGAATCTTTTTTAAAAAATTTAATTTTTGGTATGGGAAGTTTGCAGCAATTTGCCTTAAGGCACTATGCCATGCAACACTAGTTATTTTTTGGTATCTCCTTCCCATCTATTTTTCAAACTAGAAATACCCGAGTAGAAATTTGTTACGGCAAGCCCACAGTTACACAGGTCTGGCTCCTATAGGGCTGTACTCCGGCGTCCGCATTACGGAATTTAGTGCATGGCTCTCATAGGGGCCATATATGGGCGGCCCTAATATGATAATTTGGATAGATAATAATAGAAAAATGACGGATAATAAAAACAATATGGATGATTAAATTTTGTATTCAAATTTCGCGCCGCTCTATAACGGCCTCCCCCACTGCTAGGAGAGTGGTGGGGGAACAAAACGCAAACACGTCCTGTTCTGTCTAAGTCTTCGCAAATGTAAAATTATAATTTCTGTGTGTTCAATAAATTCTGTATATAATTTTTTCGTGTGTTTCCTTTTATACCATAAAGTTTGGTCCTTCATCACGGATAATATTAATAAAATCAGTGCTAATATATATAAAAGAACACTACTTAACCTACAGATGGAAATAATTCAATTACTTGGGGGGGAGGCTTTACATTGCACAAATGGGCAAGTAACTGTAACAAACTTCTTAACACTTTACCACAGAACGGACAGACTATTTCAAATTACCAACCGGAAAAGGGGACAATTACGACTTTAGGAATATCATGGAACCCGACGAGTGACGTATTCAGAATAAATAAGACTGACACCACTAAAACCACTTGTACAATACAAAGACACACAAAAAGATTTCTTCTATCGGCAATAGCTCAAATATATGACACGGTTGGACTAATAGCAGCGGTAACAATCACAGCAAAGATAATTATGCAAAACTTGTGGAAAGAAAAAATTGATTGAGATGATGTGATTCCAGAATCCATTAAAGAGGAACTAGACAAATTTGGCAATAGGTTATCACATCTCATCGAAATTTCTATTCCTCGTTGCATGTTCACAATGAATCCTATCGTAATACAGTGCCATGGATTCGCGGATGCTTCGCTAAAGGCGTACGGTGCCTGTATATACATAAGAGCTACATACCACTTGGGTATAAAAACACATTTACTGTGTTCGAAGTCTAAGGTAGCTCCTCTGAAAAATGTAACATTACCCCGTCTAGAGTTGTCAGCAGCATTGCTTCTGGCAAAGTTATATAAGCGTGTGGTAACAGACATTTCAGGAATCATCAAAATAGCTGTAACATTCTTGTGGAGTGACTCCAGTATTGTCTTGGCTTGGTTACGGACTGATCCCTCACAATTAAAGATGTTTGTCAGTAATAGGGTTTCAGAGATTTCTGCCAGCCATATTATGGAGACATGTTTCGAGCAAGGACAACCCTGCAGACATAGTGTCTAGAGGTGTCGAATCTCCTGCTGAATTGTCAAACTGTGAACTCTGGTAGCACGGACCTGCATGGTTGGCCGAGGACTTTAGTAAGTGGCCTAATAAATTTTCTTACAAGATGTGGAAGCCCTACCAGAGAAACACGTACAAGCAGTGACGAACAATGACATGGATATTGAGATCGGATTACCTCGGGCATTTACTAAATTTTCCACATTTCAACGAATGGTTCGGGTAATGTCATACTGTTTGAGATGGTACCATTAGCACAAAAAAGCAGAATTTTTAGGCATCAATCATACGTTATCAGCTGGCGAATTACGGCGCATAACAAATAATATATTTAAAGCAGTGCAATGGGAAGTATTTGGTAAGCCATATGATACAAAAGTAGAAAGCATGAAGAAACTAAAACCATTAAATCCGTTCCTTGATGCTAATGAGATATTGAGAGTAGGTGGTAGGCTGGAAAATGCGGATATTCCCTTCGAGCAGAAGCATCCAATCATCCTGCCTCAAGGGCATGCAATAGTTGAGATGTTTTTACGTTCTGAGCATGAACGACTATTGCATGCAGGAACACAAACGGTGTTAGCCAACGTTAGGTTGAAATATTGGCCTATAGGTGGGAGGAGCACTCTCAAACAAATAATTAATAAATGCATTAATTATATTAGATTCAAAGCGTCTACAGCAGAGCAGCTGACGGGCAATTTACCGATAGATCGAGTCACCATGCAACGTCCCTTACAGGCTGTAGGAGTCGACTTTGCTGGTCCGATAACTCTGAGAGCCAGCCGTCTACGGAAAGCACCACGAGTGAAGGCCTACATAACCTTGTTTGTGTGTATGGTCACAATGGCGGTGCACCTCGATCTGGTAACCAGCTTATCCACTGATGCTATTCTTGCCACGTTGCGACGTTTCATTTCGCGCCGTGGCTGCTGTAGTACGATTCACAGCGACAATGGCAGAAATTTTGTAGGAGCCAAAAAGGAACTAACTGATCTATATCGTTTCTTTAGACAAGATATGGTCAAACACTCACTAATAGAAGTTAGTGCCCAGTTAGGAATCAGATGGCAATTCATTCCGTCATATTCACCACATTTTGGTGGTCTATGGGAAGGGTCCATAAAGTGCATGAAGCACCATATTTGTAGAGTGATAGGGTCATACTGTCTGACATATGAAGAGTATCTCACAGTCCTCACTCAGATTGAGGCAGTCTTGAATTCAAGACCACTTTTGGCTACCACTGATGACAGCACTGATATTTCCAATATTAGTCCGGGACATTAGTCCAGCGCTTCCGGAACCATATACATCAGACCATGCAGTTAACCACAGTAAGGTATTTAAGCAAATGACTTCTATGAGAGACCGATTTTGGAAAATTTGGTCTACTCAATATTTAAACATGTTGCAACGCAGAAACAAATGGACAAGTTTCCAAGCTAATATTAAAATTAATGACATTGTTTTGATAAAAGAGGATAATACCTCTTCCTTTACAATGACCATTAGGTCGGGTAACAGAATGCAGAGTAGCTCAGGATGGAAAGGTTAGGGTGGTTGTAGTAAAAACCACTACTGGTCATCACACTAGACTAATTGTAAAGATTGTGCCATTACCCTGTGCCGACTAATTAAACTGTAATAATTAATTCTTCAAATATCTTAAGTCACCATGCAATGTATGAATAATAATTATATCAATGTTAAGTATTAAGCAATCTGTTAATGATTAATTTAAGTTATCTAATTACTCATCATATTTATCGACTGTCTCATACTTATATCCATACACTTAGTTATTCCTATTTTGTAATTCAACTTGATTTATAATAATTATTTAAGTAATTTTAAGGATGTTAGTTTGTAAACATTATTACTTACTAATATGTAAGTAAATATCAGTTTTTTTATGTTGAAACAATATTATATTTTTTTGGTATACCTTATATACTTTAAGCCAGTTTAGATGTTAGAAATGGACCTATATGGAAAGTATTTATTCTAAGAAATATGGATGCTTGGCATCGCCCGAGAGGATGGACGATTAAATTTTGTATTCAAATTTTGCGCCGCTCTATAACGACCTCCCCCACTACTAGGAGAGTGTCTTATGCTAGGATTGCACTACGCTTTACACAAGCACGTCCTGTTCTGTCTAAGCCGCCTAACAAACAACAAGTCTTCGCAAATGTAAAATTATTATTTCTATGTGTTCAATAAATTCTGTATATGATTTCTTCGTGTGTTTCCTTTTATACCACAATAATACACACGTATTTAAGACAATTTTAGAATTAACTAGCTTTTTTTTTTTTTGTATAGCGAAGGAAATGCTTTTATGCATCCCAGACCGGTCTTCTGTCTGGGTATGTCGGACTCGATACCGCCCTGGTATAATACCGACTAAAACCTCCGCTTTGCCCCTGCCTCTGGTCCCCACGGAAACCGCCGCTAGGCATTACTTCGTGGCGGAGGATCTAGAATGTTACAATTCTTAACTTGTTATAAACAATGTTATAATTCATAAACATTTTACTTATCTTTTAAATGGGCGAAGTCCCATTCGTCCTTTCTCTCTCTATAGAACGCAGGTCCATTAAAACGTCTCTCGCAAATCTGTCTATGGCGTTCCAAGCAGCTTCACTTGTCAGCATCACTTTAACAACATTACCTGGGGTAATTGTGCGTCTCAATGTCACCTCCACATCATCCCGTAGAGCACCAAATCGCGGGCACACGAAGAACACGTGCTCAGCATCTTCGATTTCGCCCAAACAATATGGGCAATCCGGCGAGCTATCGTGCTTGAATCGGTGTAGGTAGGCTCGAAAACAGCCATGCCCCGATAGCATTTGCGTAGTATAATAGTTTACTTCGCCGTGCTTGCGACTTAGCCAGACTTTGATGTTAGGAATGAGACGATGCGTCCATCTGCCCTTTACAGCGACATCCCACAGTCGCTGCCATCGGTCAATGCTGTTCTGCCGTTCTTCTAATCTTAACTTTTCAGGACACAGTTGTTGATGTCTTCTATGGTAAATTGTCCGTCTTTCCTCTGCTAAGACTAAGAGAGGCACAGTTCCTGAAATGACGCACACTGCTTCCGCCGATATTGTGCGAAATGCGCAAGCAATTCTTATAGCACTGAGACGGTATAAGGGCCCTGCTATTCTCCTCGATTTTTGAGATTTAAGAGCATCACCCCATATGGAGATACCATATGTCAGCACTGAAGTAATAACTGACGATAGTAATATCCTTCTGGTTTGTTTATGACCTCCAATATTAGGCATCAGTCGAGCAAGTTTCGTCCTAACTATTGACGCCTTAGCACTAACGTGTTCCACCTGTTGATTGAAATTCAAACGAGCATCAAGCATTACGCCAAGGTAACAGATGTGAGGTTTTGACGTGATCTCAAGATTTCCTATCTTTAGCTTGATGGTCTCAATTCTTTTCCTACTAGTGATAAGAACAAGAGAATTAACTAGCTGTAAGTGGAATTTTGTCTTAAGGCAATTAAGGCATCGTGCCTTAAGGCAAATTGCTGGAACTTCCCGTAACAAAAATTATAATTTTTTTAAAAACGATTGACATTTTTAAAAAAAATTTACTTCGAAAAAATAAGACTTTTGAGAAACTATAAATTGGACAAAAAATTACTTTTTTTTGAAAAAAAAAATTTTTTTTTTTTTTTTAAATTTTTTTTTGAAAAAATATTTTTTTTTTATTTTGGCATATCTTGGAAGATCTGAACTTTTTTTCATAGCGGCGTACTGCTTTAACTGCATAGAAACAAAAATGTCAAAGCGCGTAAGCGCCGCGTCGCCATCTAACGAATAAACATTGGTACGGAACCCATAAGAATGCAAACAAAATTTATACTTATTGTTAAAATCTCTATAAATATCTGATAATTTGAAGTGCATATGTCTAATGATCACTTTTGACCGCCAAATGGCATTTTTTTATACTTTTTTATTAGATCTCGGAAACCGTTAGACCCGCCCTCATGAAAATTTGATCAATTCTTCATCTTGTCAATACAAGTCAAATGTTTTTTGAATTATTAAAATCGGACGCTTCGTTCTCTTAAAAACTGAGTTACCGTTTTCGGCACTTTTTGCCCCGTATTTTTGGAACGGCTCGACCTGCCTTCGCCAAAAACTAATCAGCACGTCTCCTTATCAATTCGAATCGAATGCTTTTTGAATTATTCAAATCGGTTGATCCGTGTTCCCGAAATCGTCGACGAAAATTTGTATCCGCACATACATACACACACGTACATACATACATACATACATACATACACACACGTACATACATACATACATACATACATACATACATACACACACACACACACATACAAACATGATGTCCCTGATGACCAGGTAAATACGACAGTAGACAAAATAAACAAAACCAGAAATGGAGACTTGTTGGTAACTATTTCTAAGAAAAGTGCGGACAAAGGTCAAGGACTACAACAGATTATTGCAGGTGTGTTAAAGGATGAGGCCGAAGTTATTTATAAGGGGCACCAAGAAACTATAGAAATAAGAGATATTGATGATGAAACCTCAAAAATTGATATCCAGATAGCACTACAAAAAGCAACCGGAGGAGCCTGCAACACATCAGCAGAAGCAATTAGGATTCGTAAGGCATATAGAGGTACCCAGATTGCTACTGTAGCTCTTGCAGCGGCAGTTGTACACGATCTGCTCAAAGCAAGTAGCAAAATACGAATTGGATGGGTCAACTGTCGAATTAAAATCATCAAGAAACCAATTCGATGCTTTAAATGCTGGCTATTCGGACATTATGAATCACAGTGCAAGAGCGAAGTGAATCGGACCAATCTATGCATTAGATGTGGACAAGAAAGTCACAAAATAGCCAACTGTGTAAATGCAGCAAAATGTGCACTGTGCGCTGAAAACGGAAACTCTGAAAATGTAGCACATCATGCCGGCACTGACAGATGTCCTGTATATAGGGAGGCCATAGAGAAAATAATAAACGCAAAAGCATGAAGATAATTCAGCTAAACATGAATCATTGTGAGGCTGCTCACGACTTGCTTATGCAGACGGTAAGAGATATGAAAATTGATGTTGCCCTCTAGCATCGATAGTTGATCGCCCCTTTGCGAAAACCATACTGATTGTCTGCTAGGATTGGGTCAACTATTGCATCCATTCTTTGGTGAATTATTCTTTCAAAAATTTTACCCGCTGTGTCCAGCATGCATATTGGACGGTAGGATGATGGTTCATCTGGTGTTTTTTTTCCTTTGGGAATAAGCACTAATCTTTGCTGTTTCCATTTTCGTGGAAAAACCCCTCTTTCAGGCATGTATTATATGCATTAAGAAACATTGTCGGAGATGTCATAATTGATGTTTTTAAGGCAATATTAGGAATTCCATCTAATCCCGGTGCCTTACTATTACCAACGCGATGACAAGCTTCCATCAGTTCTTGCAGTGTTATAGGTGGAATATTATTCAGATCTACATGTGTTACCTGGTAGTTTAAGTTAGGTTGTCGTGGAAACAAAGTAGTTACTATTTTATTCAATAGTCGTGGGCAAGTTGGTGAAGGTACTGGCTGGCTTTTGATGCGAGACATTACAGTCTTATAAGGTCTTCCACATGGGTTTTTCTCGACTTCATCCAGAAGCTCTTTCCAGCACCTAACTTTACTATCTTTGATTGCTTTATTTAGTTGCCGATGTGCTTGTTTATATTCCACTACCAGTTGTGCAGAATTAGTGAGACTATATCCTCGCTGAGAGATCCTTATTTTCTTTAGGCACTCTTTACGAAGAGAGCTGATTTCTTCAGTCCACCAGTGCACAGATTGTCTTTTATTTATGCCATGCTTACGAGTCATACTGATATCACAGGCTTCGGTTATTCTCTCCATCAGCTCTCTAGTATGTTCATCTGCGTGTTCTGAAATTATAGGTTTGCAATTTAAGGCAACTTTCATGGCGCTTTCATCAAAAGATTTTATTTTCCACCCAATGGCTTTAGATATTTTCGCATGTCTTCTAATGTTTCTATTCGTTGATATTTCCCAGATGATTGCATTGTGGTCACTAGCAGTGTAGATATCTAATACCTCCCAATTGCAATTTCCTCTGACGAGGCTATTGCTAACAAAAGTAAGGTCTATTATTGAGCTTGCACTGCCCTTGGCAAAGGTTGGCTTATCACCACTATTAAGTAAAACAACGTCAAGTGCATTAAAGGCCTCTAAAAGTGCTTTACCTCTTGCATTAGTCTTCCTACTCCCCAGTTTACCGCCATGCGTTAAAGTCACCGGCTATCGCTACGAGGTGGTGTCGATTTGCATCCTCCACAAGACGATCTAAAAAATCGACAAAATCGGGCAAAGAAAGACTAGGTGGAGTGTAACAGCTGTATAAATGAATGTCCTGCGACAAATCCAGCGTTGCTATTGCTAACAACATTTTGGAAACAAAATTTGCCACAGGACCAAATAACAGCTTTGGTAGTACTATCCGTTTCCGATGGCCAATCAGTTAGTTGTTTGTAAGGTTCTGATAAGAGGGCAACATCAATTTTCATATCTCTTACCGTCTGCATAAGCAAGTCGTGTGCAGCCTCACAATGATTCATGTTTAGCTGAATTATCTTCATGCTTTTGCGTTTATTATTTTCTCTATGGCCTCCCTATATACAGGACATCTGTGAGTGCCGGCATGATGTGCTACATTTTCAGAGTTTTCATTTTCAGCGCACAGTGCACATTTTGCTCATTTACACAGTTGGCTATTTTGTGACCTTCTTGTCCACATCTAATGCATAGATTGGTCCGATTCACTTCGCTCTTGCACTGTGATCCATAATGCCCGAATAGCCAGCATTTAAAGCATCGAATTGGTTTCTTGATGATTTTAATTCGACAGTTGACCCATCCAATTCGTATTTTGCTACTTGCTTTGAGCAGATCGTGTACAACTGCCGCTGGAAGAGCTACAGTAGCAATCTGGGTACCTCTATATGCCTTACGAATCCTAATTGCTTCTGCTGATGTGTTGCAGGCTCCTCCGGTTGCTTTTTGTAGTGTTATCTGGATATCAATTTTTGAGGTTTCATCATCAATATCTCTATTTCTATAGTTTCTTCGTGCCCCTTATAAATAACTTCGGCCTCATCCTTTAACACGCCTGCATAATCTGTTGTAGTCCTTGACCTTTGTCCGCACTTTTCTTAGAAATAGTTATCAACAAGTCTCCATTTCTGGTTTTGTTTATTTTGTCTACTGTCGTATTTACCTGGTCATCAGGGACATCATGTTTGTATGTGTATGTGTGTGTATGTATGTATGAATGTATGTATGTACGTGTGTGTATGTATGTGCGAATACAAATTTTCGTCGACGATTTCGGGAACACGGATCAACCGATTTGAATAATTCAAAAAGCATTCGATTCGTATTGATAAGGAGACGTGCTGATTAGTTTTTGGCGAAGGCAGGTCGAGCCGTTCCAAAAATACGGGGCAAAAAGTGCCGAAAACGGTAACTCAGTTCTTAAGAGAACGGAGCGTCCGATTTTAATAATTAAAAAAACATTTGACTTGTATTGACAAGATGAAGAATTGATCAAATTTTCATGAGGGCCGGTCTAACGGTTTCGGAGATGTAACGAAAAAAGTAAAAAAATGTCATTTGGCGGTCAAAATGATCATTAGACATATGCACATCAAATTATCAGATATTTTATAGAGATTTTAACAATAAGTATAAATTTTGTTTGCATTCCTATGGGTTCCGTACCAATGTTTATTCGTTAGACGGCGACGCGGCGCTTACGCGCTTTGACATTTTGTTTCTATGCAGTTAAAGCAGTACGCCGCTATGAAAAAAAGTTCAGATCTTCCAAGATATGCCAAAATAAAAAAAATATTTTTTCAAAAAAAAATTAAAAAAAAAAAAAATTAATATTTTTTTAAAAAAAATTTTTTTTTCAAGAAAAAGTAATTTTTTGTCCAATTTATAGTTTCTCAAAAATCTTATTTTTTCGAAGTAAATTTTTTTTAAAAATGTCAATCGTTTTTAAAAAATTATAATTTTTGGTACGGGAAGTTCCAGCAATTTGCCTTAAGGCACTATGCCATGCAACACTAGTTATTTTTTGGTATCTCCTTCCCATCTATTTTTCAAACTAGAAATACCCGAGTAGAAATTTGTTACGGCAAGCCCACAGTTACACAGGTCCGGCTCCTATAGGGCTGTACTCCGGCGTCCGCATTACGGAATTTAGTGCATGGCTCTCATAGGGGCCATATATGGGCGGCCCTAATATGATAATTTGGATAGATAATAATAGAAAAATGACGGATAATAAAAACAATATGGACGATTAAATTTTGTATTCAAATTTCGCGCCGCTCTATAACGGCCTCCCCCACTGCTAGGAGAGTGGTGGGGGAACAAAACGCAAACACGTCCTGTTCTGTCTAAGGCTTCGCAAATGTAAAATTATTATTTCTGTGTGTTCAATAAATTCTGTATAATTCTTAATTTCTTCGTGTGTTTCCTTTTATACCATAAAGTTTGGTCCCTTCATCACGGATAATATTAATAAAATCAGTGCTAATATATATAAAGAACACTACTTAACCTACAGACGGAAATAATTCAATTACTTGGGGGGGAGGCTTTACATTGCACAAATGGGCAAGTAACTGTAACAAACTTCTTAACACTTTACCACAGAACGGACAGACTATTTCAAATTACCAACCGGAAAAGGGGACAATTACGACTTTAGGAATATCATGGAACCCGACGAGTGACGTATTCAGAATAAATAAGACTGACACCACACTAAAACCACTTGTACAATACAAAGACACACAAAAGATTTGTTCTATCGGCAATAGCTCAAATATATGACACGGTTGGACTAATAGCAGCGGTAACAATCACAGCAAAGATAATTATGCAAAACTTGTGGAAAGAAAAAATTGATTGAGATGATGTGATTCCAGAATCCATTAAAAAGGAACTAGACAAATTTGGCAATAGGTTATCACATCTCATCGAAATTTCTATTCCTCGTTGCATGTTCACAATGAATCCTATCGTAATACAGTGCCATGGATTCGCGGATGCTTCTCTAAAGGCGTACGGTGCCTGTATATACATAAGAGCTACATACCACTTGGGTATAAAAACAACATTTACTGTGTTCGAAGTCTAAGGTAGCTCCTCTGAAAAATGTAACATTACCCCGTCTAGAGTTGTCAGCAGCATTGCTTCTGGCAAATTATATAAGCGTGTGGTAACAGACATTTCAGGAATCATCAAAATAGCTGTAACATTCTTGTGGAGTGACTCCAGTATTGTCTTGGCTTGGTTACGGACTGATCCCTCACAAATAAAGATGTTTGTCAGTAATAGGGTTTCAGAGATTTTGCCAGCCATATTATGGAGACATGTTTCGAGCAAGGACAACCCTGCAGACATAGTGTCTAGAGGTGTCGAATCTCCTGCTGGAATTGTCAAATGTGAACTTGGTAGCACGGACCTGCATGGTTGGCCGAGGACTTTAGTAAGTGGCCTAATAAATTTTTCTGCAAGATGTGGAAGCCCTACCAGAGAAACACGTACAAGCAGTGACGAACACATGACTGGATATTGAGATCGGATTACCTCGGGCATTTACTAAATTTTCCACATTTCATCGAATGGTTCGGGTAATGTCATACTGTTGAGATGGTACCATTAGCACAAAAAAGCAAAATTTTTAGGCATCAATCATACGTTATCAGCTGGCGAATTACGGCGCATAACAAATAATATATTTAAAGCAGTGCAATGGGAAGTATTTGGTAAGCCAGATGATACAAAAGTAGAAAGCATGAAGAAACTAAAACCATTAAATCCGTTCCTTGATGCTAATGAGATATTGAGAGTAGGTGGTAGGCTGGAAAATGCGGATATCCCTTCGAGCAGAAGCATCCAATCATCCTGCCTCAAGGGCATGCAATAGTTGA